TCGGTCGAAAAATGTAGGAGGAGATTGCCAGACAAACAAAGTTTATGCCGGACGGACGACGGACGCCATACCATAATACTACTGTCAAATTTGACGGGCGTATAAAAACAAACATGTAAGCCTGAACACTGTTTTTATAACAAAACTATCCGATTTAGGTCGCATCTATAGATTATTTGTAGGTCTAAGCCAGGGAAATATGGGGCTCCCAAAAGGGGTAAGTAACTATCTGGCTATTGATTTTGGTAACCGGTTTGTGGTCTAGTGTTGACAACCCTAATATATATATATATATATATGTATATAAATAAGATATGACCAACTTTAAATTAGCAGCTTTCACCCTTCACAGGGCTCTTCTGGGGAGGGAGTTCTAAAATGCGTAACTCATTTTAAGTCCCAATATAGCTATAACAAATCCTTGTTTCCCTGTGATGATAGTGGTCTAAACAAATTAACATACCTGGTTTAAGGTTCTTAAAAATATAATACACTGTGGTGTTTTTATTCACCAACACTGCAGACAGCAGTTTAATAAATTTTCAAACTGGGAATTCCAAACAGGAACAACTGGTATGTCATTGTACATAACAACACTTTAGTGTTCTCTCACTCAAGCATATCACATTGAGCTCACAACTAGGAAGTGAAATGTGAAAATCAGGATGCAAACCACGCAAACAGATCTGACACTAAAAGCGATATTTTAACACATTTAAGATGGATGTTTCTTTGCTTGCTGTCCTGTTGGTGTGGTCAGTGCCTGTAAGTGTGGTCACTAGATGTACTTTGTCTACATATTCAAAAAGAATTTATTGTTATCAGGATCACACCAATGTTATACCCAGTTTACCAAAGTACAATGGGACTCTCAATCTCCTGGCATTTAACAGAAAATGGATAATAAGAAAACTAGACAAGAATTCATTCAGAGACACACTAGTGAAACAACTCACCCTTGAGAACATTGGTTTACAACACCTGTCATGTGACACGTTTACCAACAATAGGCGGGAGTTGACTATTCTCAACCTTGACGACAACCTGCTGGACTATTTTCCTGCGTGTTCCCTCAATAACTTGAATCACCTGAGAGAGTTGACTTTGACTAAGAACTTGATCACATGTATTCCTGAACACAGTATTCCTGCGTATTTGGAACACCTTGACGTGTCACACAACCAAATATTTACAATGAGTTCTGACATGTCCACAGATGTCTACAACGAGAACCCATTGAAAACCTTCAACATCAGAGGAAACAAACTCCACAGAATCAGCAACAATGAACTGCATCAATTTACAAGCTTAGAAAACCTTGATGTAAGTGAGAACCGTCTAGAGTACATTCATCCAAGGTCGTTCGTATCGTCTGGCAAGCACCTGCGGGATATCAATCTGTCCCACAACCAGCTGATGACAGATGTGTGGTTCTGTCTGGAGCACTTACAACAGGTGAGAAATCTTAACTTGTCTCACAACCAGATAGATCATGTCAATGATAACATGTCATCCAGCATGACAAACCTACAGACATTTGACATTTCATACAACATGCTTTCTGAAGTAGGACCAGCATTTGTTAACCAACAGACTATGCTTGTTCTGTTATTTCATCACAACTCTATCACCAATGTTGCCGAGGACATGTTTGCCGTGGGAACCAGATTTATGTCCTCCTTCACCCTTGATTTGTCCTTCAATCTTCTGGTCAGTGTAGATCTGCCCATTCTAGACTGCTGGGATTGTAGGTTTACTTTTCATCACAACAAACTTACAAGATTGTGCCTCTCCTCAAACCAAGACAGCACTTTCAGTTTGTTGGACGTCTCCTCCAATGTACTACTAACAATACCTCCAAACCTGCCTCCATGGACCAACTTTAACGGATCAAACAACCCATTTTCCACAGCGAGTGTGATGGACGTTTTGACTCATTTCCCTAACAGGACTATATACAGTGTCGCCTTACAGAACACAACATTCCTGTGTACTAACACAGATATCCCAGAGATTGTGATTCCCTCTGATATAACACTGAACCTGGCAGACAATTGTGTTCCCTCTCAATTCCTGTGTCACCTAAGATCAAATGTGTCCAGCCAAGTCAATATTAACTTGGACAGGAATGGAATCTTAACGCTTCACCAATGCCCACTCAATGTTTCTGTTGTAAAACTCTCATTGAAGGGAAACCACTTAACATATCTGAATGAATCTTTCATCACACAGGAAATGCCAAATCTAAAATACTTAGATCTAGCTGAAAACAATATGAAGTCAGTAAATCTATCACAACTGAGTAAAATAGTACATTTGAATGCATCTTTAAACAATGTACAGGAACTCCCATTCATAGAAATCCTTTATCTGTATCGGCAAACAAGAATTCTTGATTTTTCCTCAAGTAATATTTCTAGCGTAAATAATGTTAATTTTGAAGGTTATGATATTTATGGGTCATATATTAATGTAGACATTAGCAACAATACTTTAAAACATACTTTTCCTGTTACTTTTGCAAGGCAAACCAGGCATTTCAGATATTCCACATTTTATTTAAATTCATCAGATAATCAAATAGAGTCAATCACTGATGTTTTAGATTTTCAGACAACTTATGGTTTCTATATTTATTCATCCCTTTTAGTTTTTGATTTGAGTAGAAATAAAGTAAAAACTGTTTCAAATATGATAAAAGATTGTACGTCACGCTTGCGTTTCTCTCGGCCTAGGATAGTTATTAACATAACTAAAAACATGCTGACTGACTTCCCCAGCTGTGATTCCCAGGAACAGATTGAATGTCCTGATATTATTTTAGGACTGGATTTCTCCTACAATTTCCTTCATGCCTTACCTCACAGTGAAACATGTATAATGGATAAACTTGTGATGTTAAATGTCAGTCACAATGATTTCACTGAGATACCGGAACCAATCGCCAACTCATCAAATCTCCTATACCTGATTATGAGTGGCAATAAGATCACCACAATCACACCCAATGCTTTCATTGGACTGCCTCTCCTCAGAGAACTTGATTTGAGCTTTAACCAGCTTACAATATTTCCAGAAAGTATAAAAAGTCTATCAAAACTGGAAAAACTTAATCTGGCAGGAAATCACATTCTGACTATCCCAGACTCTGGATTTTCCTTGTGGCCATCTTTGTCTGTGGTTCAGCTCCATGGAAACCCACTGGTCTGTTCCTGTTCCACGGCCTGGCTGAGAAACTACACCTTCACCACAGACCTTGGACAGTGTAGCTATCCTGCAGAGCTAGAGGGGACTTCAGTAACCTGCCTGGAAATCTCACCTTGTGATGCAGGTGACATGGTGTATTCATCGAAGGAAAATATACAGGCATGTTTTGGGAATGGACTTGTGTTTAAAAATCAAAACCAAACCCTACAGTGGAACATGTCATCAAAATATGTACAAACCATATCACAATCACTGGCCACTGTTGAAGTTTTCAGGGAATGCAAGCTGGTAGCAAACTTTTCAGTAGTTGATAAGGACACCTGGACACTTTCTGATAATGTTGATGNCAACCCGAGTCTCAAACATCACACAGTGCCTACATTGGAGTGATTGTTGCTCTCTCCATACTGTTGGCCGTTGTTGTGGGTGTTGGACTTGGTGTCTACTTTCTACATAAAAGACGTCAAACTGTCACCAAACATTCGGGAACTGTACCAACCACATCAGGCCAGGAAAACATGGTTTATGAAAATACCACTGTAGGTGAGACATCATTCAGTAGTGATCCTAATGATACACATAACTATGAAAGTCTGAATCCCTCAAATATATATGATAACTAGTTCAAACCCACAGATGCATACAAAACTATCCTACACGCCCCTATGGTAGCAGAGTACAGTAGAAATGGCTTGACCCTAAAAATAAAGGGCATGTCTCGGATAAACATGGATAGCGGATTCATCCTGCACAACACACCTACATATATATATATATTTATAAACTTCATTTTGAATACGTTGTTTTTTAGAAGAATGATAGTTTTTTCAAAAAGTGATTTCCTCAGATTTGGGACTTGTGAAAACCATGGTTACCACATCAAAAAACACCAAAATATGCCAAAAAAACATGATTTTTAACCCAAAATTTGACCCCCGCAAGTAGATTTTTTCCCCTTAAACCTGTCTGAAATTAAATATCGCCTATTTGGTAACAGAAATACTCACGTTTTAGCATAGGTCATTCCGGTGGATTTTTCACAATATTTACACACATGTGCCGAGTACAAAAATAGACTACATAAAAAGCTAGCTTTTGTTGTGTAGACACAGATTTGTAAAAATTATGAGGCCCACATAGTCCACTTCATCATGTATATGCCAATTTTAGTGCTGATTTTTTTTAAAAATTTGGATACATGTTATATTACAGGGGTTATTCATTGTGTAAAAATATCACCCATGGCCACCGTACCCTACTGTACTCTGCTACCTATATACAAACACTAGATCAAACCCTCAGATACATACAAAATTATCCCACACTCTCCTATATACAAATACTAGATCAAACCCTCAGATACATCCAAAACTATCCCACACTCCCCTATATCCAACCCCTAGCTCAAACCCTCAGATACATACAAAACAATCCCACACTCACCTATATACAAACACTCACTCAAACCCTCAGATACATACAAAACAATCCCACACTCACCTATATACAAACACTCACTCAAACCCTCAGATACATATTAAACTATCACGCACTCTCCTATATACAAACACTAGCTCAAACCCACAGATACATACAAAACAATCCCACACTCACCTATATACAAACACTAGATCGAACCCTCAGATACATACAAAATTATCCCACACTCTCCTATATACAAATACTAGATCAAACCCTCAGATATAAACAAAACTATCCCACACACCCCTATATACAAACACTAGATCAACCCCTCAGATACATACAAAACAATCCCACACTCACCTATATACAAACACTAGATCGAACCCTCAGATACATACAAAATTATCCCACACTCTCCTATATACAAATACTAGATCAAACCCTCAGATATAAACAAAACTATCCCACACACCCCTATATACAAACACTAGATCAACCCCTCAGATACATACAAAATTATCCCACACTCTCCTATATACAAATACTAGATCAAACCCTCAGATATAAACAAAACTATCCCACACTCCCCTATATCCAACCCCTAGCTCAAACCCTCAGATACATACAAAATTATCCCACACTCTCCTATATACAAACACTAGCTCAAACCCTCAGATACATACAAAATTATCCCACACACCCCTATATACAAACACTAGATCAAACCCACAGATACATACAAAACTATCCCACACCCCCCTATATACAAACACTAGATCAAACCCTCAGGTACATACAAAACTATCACACACTCTCCTATATACAAACACTAGCTCAAACCCTCAGATACATACAAAACTAGAAATTGTTGGAGAACAATTTGACAGGCTTTTCACCTATATCACACCATTGAGGTAAAGACTTTTAAATTTTGAAATGTTGAAAATTGATTAAAAGATAAATCAAGTTCAGAAATTTTAGCAGTACTCCAAAATAGTAGAAAAAAGGTGTATAACTTTTGCTGTGGGTTATATTTTTGTAGGTGAACGATTTTACTACTGGTGGAAGGGAAGTAACTCGCAAATAGTTCTGGTACCTTTGTTTTTTTCCACAAAATTACATGTTCGAATTTGACCTCTATCAAACACCAGAAATTGATCTTTGATGGTAATTTATGTCCATAAACCTTGTAGCCCATCATCCTAGCATGCTACAGACCAAATATCAATACCCTGGGCATAACCGTTATTGAGAAGGAGTTTTTTGCAGATTTTTACATAAGTGACCCCAGTGACCTTGAACATGGGTCAAGGTCATTCATATTATCAAACTTGATAGTCCATTGCTTGAGCATGATATTCTAAAAACATCATGACCTTGGGTCACTTGGTTATTTACCCTTAGGCTGCTACGCGCGACATGTTGTTTTGAAAAGTTGGGCCGTCAGTGCTACGCACAACATGTCGTTTCTCGGTCTGTAGGTTTTGATCGGTAGCCAGGAAGTGTGAAGTCCAATTGCTGCTATACCAAACCCGAACGTGTATAGTAGAAGGCTTCTGATTGGTTGTTTTGTCATTACTTTCGATATTCACGGCAGTGTCCCCTAGTAATAACCAAAGGTGTGTGAGAGAATTTCAAATCGAAAAAAAAAGTCATAAAAATGGCGGACGTGTAGATTGTAACTTTCCAATAAACGGATTTGTGACCTACGCAAACAGGAAAATATCGGCGGACCGAGGCGCACATGTCGTCTGCAGGTGAGGCGGAATTGAACATTGACATTGATACGTTTTGAGCCGACTTATTTCTTCAAACTTTTTATCAGTGATTTAATCATAAACTAGACCGTATCTAAGATATATATATATATGCCGACTGTGACAGTAAATGTATTGAATGGCGAGCTGAAACCTGTAGCAAATCACATGCAATTCTTGACAAAATACCTGACCTTTTTACCTGAGAATCTCTGTGTAAATATACAGCGTCTTATGTCAAAAATGAAGTTTATAATCTCTGTTATGGTTTGCCAATCACATTTGCGGACGAAAATAATTTTAAAATGATCTTCCTTTTGCTTAAATCTGATTAATTAAAAGTTTCACCTTTTCTTACCTTTATTACCTGTAAATATTGAAGCATAAACTAGAGACAACAACGAACAATTTTCATACAACTTTTTTTCACATATAACAAATATTTTCCAAGTTATGCACATTTGAAAAATCAAGTAAATTAATTCAAATTTCAATAATTAATTCAGCAGTGGTGTCCCTTTACATAGAAACCAATGTAGCAGCCTAAGGGTTAAGAAGTTTTTGAAGTTTGTTTCACAAAATTACATTTTCAAACTTTGACCCCTACCATAAACTGGAAGTTGACATTTAACTCAAATAAGTTTCCTGAGAAAAGTTATTTATTTGTTATTTTGCACAATATATATCCTAAGATGAATAAAATACATTAACCTGTTAATGAGGTATTGCAATTAGATTTAAAATCGCATATGACGTCAAAGCGGCCATATTTTTTTTTATGAAGTTGAAAATGTTACCAAATGTTAGAGGACATCTGGGGAAACCTTTTCCATTACAACTAAACAAAATATTTGTCATTGATATAGGAGTAAAACAAGTTTTACACGTTGTTGGCATTTTTAAAAGATCAAAAGAAAATGTTCAAATGGTGTACAACGTTAACGGTAAATAAAACAGAAAAACTAAAGACATCCTAACCTTTATAGTCTAAATTTTGCTATTTAATTATGCCTGTATTTTGCTTCACTTCAAACTTAGTCTAAGTTTTCGTATAAGGTAGAAGCACATCAAGTTTCATCAAAACGATCTTTAAGGAAGTTATTTTGTTGAAATCAAAGACAGACACTCTGCATACCATTATATGTCCAGTCAAGTTTTGAAGGCCATAATAGAATGGCTCCAACCCTCAAATATACACAACAAGAGGCCCAGAGGGCCTGTATCGCTCACTTTGATATTTAAGCAGTCATAGCAAAGTATTCTCATTAAATATTATACTGAACTACAAATATTTCTATTGCAAACCTTATCAGCTCCATCTGTTGAAGCTACAAACAACTATTATTATATGATTCTATGCTTTTCGGCTCTTCTTCAGAAGTTGTTTGAAGTGTTTGACATATTTGTCCCTGTGACCTTGTAAGTAGGTCAAGTTCATTTTCCTTCTCAAACTTTGTTGGCTCTATCCCAAGAAGCCAGCAGCCAAATATTATGATTCTATTCCTTTCGATTATTCAGAAGAAGTCGTTTGATGTTTTGACATATTTGACCCTTGTAACCTTGAAAGTGGGTTAAGGTCATTTTCCTTCTCAAACTTTATTGGCTCGATCCCATTAAGCTACCAGCCAAATCTTATGTGAATCCATGCCTTTTGACCCCTGTTACCTTTAAAGTAGATCCTGGTTATTTTCATTCTCAAACTTTGACGGGGTCAATCCCAAGAAGCTATAAGCTACCAGACAAATGTCAAGATTTTACACCTTTCAGTTCTTCAGCCAAATCTGAGGATTCTATACCTTTCAGTTCTTAAGAAGTAGTCGTTTTAAGTGTTTGGCATATTTGACTCCTGCGACCTTGAAAGTAGGTCAAAGTCATTTTCGTTCTCAAACATGTTTGGCTCTTACCAAGGAAGCTTTCAGCCAAATATGATGACTCTAGGCCTCTCCATACTTCAGAAGTTCTGAAGTTGTCATAAAGGAAAAGTTGACCTGACAGATGGAGGAATGCTGCCCCATGGCATAAGCTCACTACTGACTAGCCCTTTGGTCAGGTTAGCTAAAAACTAGCTCAAATGTTTGGGTACACACAAAAACTAGCTTAAAACCCTCAGATATATATGAAATCTTTGATAACGGGGTATGACTGTTAGGAATTACGGACGAAGTGTTTATGCTGTTTTTATCAACAACAAAAAAATTGTATATACCA